CCAAATCTAACAATCAGCAGTCTCCAAACACAGTTGCAATTCACTCTGATTTCCCAATCTAACAATCAGCAGTCCCCATACACAGTTGCAGTTCACTCTGATCCCGTACCGCATGCACATACTGAGAGGTCTCGTTTATTTAATATACACATGTTCTTCTAGGCAGGTCGTGTACTGCATTGTAGATACTATTAAATCAGAGCCTTCCCAGTGAATATAATTAATAAAATAATGTCCATTTAACCAGATAACATGTCATCCCTAATCCATGGTTTAGTGAAACTACCCACACAGTATCCACTTTATTACATTGTACTTTGACTGTCAACTAAGAGCAATCTTGTTTTCTGTTTTCAGATGAACGTTGTTAGTTAATATAATTTAGCATCAGCAAGTGAGGTCCTTTACTCTTTCGTTATGTTTTATTTATATGTCCATACATATTGAATATTATACTTTCAAACTGACCAATCATAAACGACGTTGGAATTAAACTACACTAGGAAACTACACTAATGAAACTCACATTTGAATAGCATGACTTTTGTTAGACTGATGGCGTCGCTACACACAGCTATTGAATGTAAAAATAATTGACACCAAAAAATCGTTTATAAGGAACGAATATATCTCAAATAAATACTGCAGGTAGAAGGAAATAGCAATAGAAATCGTGAAACCGGGATAATGGTGGAATGATTGATGTAATGATAGGTGTGGTTTGAACTGCTGTGATGTGCCACGTGTTGGATTGGATGTTTGAAATGTTTTTTTTGCAGTACAATGCAATGTATTCCCCATCGTATTTAAAACCATTACCTCAGTAGGATTTCCATTGTCATTGTTGTAGGGAGAGATCCAATAAAGCCAAAAATGAAGAAGACGACAACAAACACAATAACTATTTGATTGCATTCTTCTCCACATATACCAGTCCTAGCATAACCAAGTATTGATATATCGTCCTCATTGAGAAGGTATGCAGATCCATTATTGATTGTATTGTTGTACGTCTCTGCATAGTTATTATTGGCCATCAGAGAATGATTACTTGTAGGAGCAGAACTGATTCTACTAGGCATATCTTTGATAGTTGCACCAGTACAGGCGCATTCAGTAAAATTCTATTTAAAAAAACACAAATATTTTACAAAGTCTAGTTTATTATATTAATACATTGTAATATATTCCCTGTCCAAAGTATGCCAAATTTAAATAAACATTACCTTTGCACGTGACATAGGGGAATCCAGAGATTGACATCCTGCATGGCATGGTGAAAGGTACGTAATTCCATCTGATCCACATACCGGATCAAACACATCATCTTTACATAAACATTCAGAGTTACAGGAAGTTACACTGTTCACATTGCTACTATTACCATATAATCTGAAAAAGGTAATTTTTAGGCTTGATTGATATATGTATGCACATATATTGCAGTACCAGGACAGTAGAAAGGTAAATTAACCTTTCATTGAAGCAATTTTGACACTCATCATTATTAAATTATCTATATTCCAGCATCTATGCTAAGAAGAGTGTTCGCGCGCATATGTAAGATGGAATGGATGCTAACTGGGTGTTATTATACGAAGGTATTTTATCTTCTTATAAGGTAAGTTACCTTCTTATTATCAATAGAAATCATAATTTACGGGTAGCCAGTGCTACATGTGTACTTACTGATGTAAGTAGGCATCCATGTTTACAGGGACGAGATAGAGTTGAGTTGAAATGTGGGCATGAGCTGCCAATTATTAGTGTTGCCAGTGTTGCACCAGCTAATAGTTTAGTGAGTGATATGCTTGTTGTTCAAGGCTTTATTGGCAGTACTGAGGTAGAGGCCCTCTTGATAGCTGGTAGAATTTGTAGAGGGTAATCAATTGACTGGGGAGAGCCGTACCTGTTGGAAAGCCCCAGTAGAGAGACTATATATAGATACATCATTTTATGTTGGTGAGGTTGAGGCACTGTGTATGAGGACCCCAGTGTGTGACTTTATTATTGGTAATATAATATTTACGCCAAATTTTGCTACAATATTAGCTCCTCTCAGTAATTTCACCAGAAAGGTCAGCCAAGAAAGGTAGTTTGGAGAGATCCTAGGAAAGTGCCTTTTATCGCTTGAAAGATTTATTGAGTAAGCAACCAATTTTAAGGTTGCCTGATTTTAATAAAGGTTTTATTTTGAGATGCGATGCACCAGGAATTGGACATGGTGCAGCCTTATTGAGGAAGGAAAATTCCCAGTGGCATACACAAGTCCTAAATTGCTAGCCAGAGAGAAATGTTAATCTGTAATTGAAAAAGAGTGTCTGGCAGTGATTTGGGCATTGCTTAAATTTCACCAACATTTATATGGTAAAGAATTTATTTTGAATACTGATCACCAGCCATTAACTTACTTAAATAATGCACGAGAAGTGAACAGTGGGTTAATGCGGTGGGCCCTATATTTGCAGTCATTTAGCTACCACATTATAGCAATTAAAGGTAGAGAAAGACAGGATTAAGAATGCCCAGAATTACTGTTACTGTTCTTATATTTTTTTGCAATTTTGAGAAATGTAAATTTATTGGTAGTTGATGCTGATTATTGGACTGAAAATATGCCATGTTCAGTCTTGATGAGGGGACAATGTCAGAATCCTTCATTCTTCATGTTTTTGTCATATCCCCCCAAACTATGCAAATAGAAGTGTGCACGGAATCATGGGAAGAAACGTGCATTGCCGTGTAGTAACTGTCATAAAGGTATTTGACAGATCATACAGGTGTGCTTGTGAATTACATGAGACAGCTGCTGGCAAGACCACATTCTGATTGGGTCATGTGGAAACACAGGTGGTGTTCCCGAATCTGGGCCATTTAAGCCCTTAAATAGACTAGACTGAGGGCAGTTGGAGTCTATCATTTCATGTGTACCCTGTGTGTTGCTGCTGTGATATTGTGAGACAAGTGATACTGGCTTCAATCATCGTTGAGACTTATATGAGCTTCTCTGTGATCTCCTGCTATCAGCGGTGCCCTCCAGAATAATATCTTTCGTCTGCAAGCAAGACTTCTGTATTTCTTTGTTGCTGTGTTGCAGAAGCCATTGACTGTCGTCAATTTCCACATCCTGGAACTGCGAGATATCACCAATACACACTTCCCTGTACAATACCCTATTTTAGTGAATCTTTTCATTGTGCTTTTGTGAGTGGTATTAAAGCCAGGAACTTTAATCTGATATTTTGGTGTATGTGTATTTCATTTCCAATACTATTGTCTTGTCTACGCTATTCTAGCAGTGAAAGAACCCCATGTCCAGTGCGAGTTCTGTGGATGCCCTCTCATTAGCAATAATCATGCCTTACACTGTGAAACTGTATGCATCCGCCTGGATAGTCTCGTGATGAAATGGACACATGTATATAAATTGGTGAAGGTCATTGATTGGATGGTACCTATATGTATATGCACAATTTGATTAAACTGCAATTCTGAGAGGAGCCTACTGAGTGGTAGATGGTATGTGGCTGGAGGGGCATTGAAAGAACACCATCACCATTCTAACTAAGTTGCCACTAGTCTATGCCTACGCTAATGTGAGACTATACACACACACACACACACACACACACACACACACACACACACACACACACACACACACACACACATACTTGTATTGCAATATGTTCCGAGGACTACATTGGATTAACTTTTAATATAGTTGAATTAACTTGTAATATAGTTGCGATATGAACTCG